TACCCGATCAAGAGATAATTTAAACGCAGTCATACAAAACTTGGTGAGAATTGATGATACTAAGCAGTATGAACTTTTTAAAATAGAACTCATACGAATCGAATGGTTGATGCCTTATGTAATTACGTCTGATAAGTGTAAAATACAGATATTCAATTTCATTCAAAAAGATATTCTTATTTCTATGAGTTTTCGATCGTGGGAACTTTATGAGTATCCAGCATTACCACAAACGTGAAAACATCTTTGGACAGTAAAAACATCCAATCAATTAGAAAAACCAAGATATATTCTATTAGATTTACAAACAAAACGCAAGTCTGATCAAACTAAAAATCCCAGCAGATTTGATCATTGCCGTGTAACCAATGTTAAACTTTTTCCCAATTCTGAGCAATATCCGTATGGAAATTAAAATCTTGATATAAGTAACAATCAATATTCTATGTTATATGACATGTATGCTAATTTTCAAGTGAACTGTTACAACAGAGACTTTATGTAGAATCCACTTTTGAATCGAAAACAATTTATTACACATGCACCTTATAACGGGGTTCCTACTCAGCTTCGCTCGAGCGGGACACGCTATATAAAAGTAACCGCGGAAAAGTAGATAAATGGCTCTCCAGAGCAGATCGGCACTCCTGCACCGAACGTCCTGGGTCCAGCAGCTCAGTTGCCTCCTTCTCGAGTCGAAAATTTGGCCCGCGGAGAGTGTCGTAGGCTACGCGTGAAGATGCGCGACGTCCAAGAAGAGAGACTCGCGCGGGTACAGTCGCATACACAATTACGGTTCGAGGAACGGGGAGTCGGCGGACAATAAGCACTCAAATACGATTAATAGTGGATGCGTGTAAATTTTAATTAGCAACAAGGAATACATAATATCAAAACGCGTCGATATAAACAAAGTCAATCGTAACGCAAGGAGACTCGCAATAATTTGACGGTGAAGAGGACGAAACTGCGCACGCGCTGTGCGGTTATGGTCGCGCCAGCACTCGCTCTGTTGTGAGCTGTGCGCAATGACGACAGCGAACCGGCGCGCACCGTTCGAACGAGGAGGCGACAGCGCTTAACCTTGTCGGATCAAGTAGCAGCAAAATCGCCTCGCAGGAGCCGGGTGTTCACGAACGGCAAGCGGCACTTATTCAGTTAAAGTACGACGAAAGTACAAAAGCGACAGCACACTCGCGGAGAGAGAGAACATGCCGGTATCAACGGTGGCCGCGGCGAAACGCGTACAAGAGAAAAAGGCGAGCGTAAACGCGCGGCTTAATTAACGTAATAAAAGGGAGAGAGAGCGGTATAGAGAGAGAAGACAAGCGCTAGACCTGGTACTTACAGTATCGCCGCTTGCACGCTTAATCTAGCCGCTGTCCAAGAGCGTTAAGTAGCGAACTCGCTTCTGTTGTGTATCCGCTCTTGTCGTCGGTGAATTGGCGATGACGCTTCTCCCCTGATAGGAGCGGTGCTGATCGCCCGTAGTAGGCCTCTGCTTCAGCCCCGCTGTAGCGATATTCTCTGCCACCTTCTAATACCAATTCGTCGCGAAGAAAAGCCAGAAAACTTGTGGTGACTCGTACGAGGAGTCTTAGCTAGTCGCGGATTGCAAGCCAACTGTCTCGATTTTCGAAACTCTCTCTCTCTCCTCGCAAGGAAGCGTCTCTCCGCGAGGTCCGCGCCGCGAGTCGATATCGATTATCGTACGCCAGTCGCGTCGCTTACCAGTTCGCTGACGTCCGCAATGCTGTAACTATTCAAATGATATGAAAATTTATAATGTTTAATAAATATATTAGTCACTGGCTTCTTGGGGAGAGAGAGACATAACGAATATGCAAGCGATTCGTTATAACCTCTAATAGTAATAGATTGTTCTAAGCAAAATAAATCATTGAAACAAGCTGTTGTAGATGTACGTCTAGAGTTTGAAACAAAAAATGATATACCTGCGGAAACAGCTGCATATTGTTTAATTTTACACGATCGTATAGTTAAGTATAATCCAATAAGCGGTAACACTACAAAACTTGTAGAAGTATTATAATATAATAGTTATGTATACTTTTTTTATCAAATAAATGTAAATTTTAAACGTATTCAAAATTTGATGATTTTGTTGATTTTTGAATAAACCTTATCCCATAGGGCATGCACACGGAGTTGCGCACGAGTACGCCAATAACTCCGGAACTTTCCAAGAGATATACCGACTAGGCATGCCATTATAATATAATGAAAATGTTTACTTTTTTTCAAATAAATGTGTTTTAAAAAATTTTAAACGTATTCAATATTTTTAATAATAAACCTTATCCCACTGGATAGTAGGGGGTGATTTACACGAGATATACCGACTGGGCATCATGACTATACGCCACCGTCGATAATATACCCCATTAATCATATATCTTTTGTTTTAATCAATCTGACACATCAACGATCGATTATCGGGGGCATTGGGCCGGCGGCCGGGGACCTACGGGGGGCATCATCCACGTCGATAATTACCGACCAGCCGAGCATATCGATACACACACATACACACGCGCGCACATGCACATGCACATGCACAGTCGGCTACAATACAAACCATCGATAAAAAATCGGATGATAAAACATTTCATTGGTTGATAATGCAGGATTGATAATGTTACCGACTGCTGGTAAGGAAGGAATAAATACTCGCATGTCATTATTCGGTAAGGCAGGATTGATAATGTTACCGACTGCTGGTAGGGAAGAAATAAATACTCGCATGGTAAAAGTAGTTTAGAACCTTTATAGCCTATACTACTTCTCATGACTGATGTTATAGCTTGCCCTGTCCGTCTCTCTCTCTCTGTCGCCGCCAGTGCCGCGCACTGTAATCGGATGTACATATTACAGATACCGGTAAGCTGTGTTTTAGGGATGAGTGGCATTGTCCAGTGAAGGAGGCTGAGAGAGAGAGAAAGAGTCACAGCTAGGAATAAAAAAGACACAGTCAAGGAGAGTGAGAGACAAAGTCTCGTGCGTCTTCGGTGGCATTTAGGTGGGAAGGGAGGGGCAGCAGGCAAGCCAGACAGCAGCTTACGGGCAGTCAGTACGATTGCCTAATTTTGTCATGCGTTCATAGATTAAGATAAAAAATGTGATAAGTGCCAATGTGTGAAAATATGTAGTAGCAGATAGATATTTCCATAGCCAACAATCCGCAGTGAGGAAACCGATACATCTTGGCAATAAACTCACTAACAGTAGACTGCTGAAAAAGCAGCCAGGCTCTTATTTCTTAGTCTTACCGTTCAATTAGCACCGTGCTAGTTACCTGCTCCTTCCAAGAGGATTAATCTTGGCCATAGCAAATATTAATAAGTTTTCTTTTGATATCGATGCTCTACCCGGCGATCACTTATAAGTTTGAATTGCACTGTTCGCGTCATTTGCGCTTCAAGATTAAGAGAAACAGAGAAAAAGAGAAAGCGACCGATAACAGAATACAAGGAACGACGCACGGGCAATAAATCATCGACGTCAGCGTTCGGTCACGTTTACAGACGGGAATACGCGCGCGTCTGTTGTTTATTGCATGTCGCCAATTGCAGCGCGCATTTCCCACATCTGCGCACCACATGTCCCAATGTAGTTATTAGGCCCTTTTCGGGCCTCAAAAGTAGGGAGAATTTACCGCCTATTTTTCTCACGTCTTCGAATGATACGACGAAGAGTTTAGTTACTTCCGGAAACCCGACAGCTACGGTCGACACTCTCTGCTCTTTAATGTGTATTCCGTATCTCTCGAAAGGTTGTACGCGACGCGTCCTCTTTTCATCTACGGCAAGTGCGTGTCTGCGATACCGAGCCAAAAGAAACTGTGCGCGCTCAACTGTGTGAGCGTGTTTGTGTGCGACTGACTCGCCAGTGTCTCGTGATCCCAGTGATGTATTTCAAGGAGACTGATTAACGTCAGTGGAAGACGCTATCCGGGGTGCTACCAGGTCTTTCCTGCCCATCAGTCGGCAAACTAGGTGTCATCACAGCTTTGTGTGCCCAAGACGTTGGGGCTGCGGTGCGCCGATGTATGTATGTGTGTGTGGTAGCACCTTCCCTCCCTCTACCTATGTTGGCGTCGACTGGTAAGCGAACACACGTTTTGCTTTGAATGGCCATTCAATCGTGCGAATTGTACAGGCTCAGCGAGCCTCAGGTAACTTATTGTAAGCGCATCCAATATTTCTCTCTCTATTTTGTATTAGTATCGTAGCTTTCTATTTTATGATTCAGTTCCACATTATTTATAGGAAATAATAACTGGAAAAGCTCTGTAATTATTATATCGGAACTCGATGGCTTTTCCCCCCACTTACGACTAGGGTTTTTTATGCCGGATGAGTATCCCCTTCTTTAATAATCTCATTAAAGTCATATTTGTGTATTTTTTCATTAATTAAGACTTATCATTTGTAACACGCAATCATCCATTCTTAATTCCGAACTTATTTAGTGCCACGTATTATCTCCTCGGCAGCTTCAGTTTGCCCGTCCGGAGTATAATATATTGTTAATAATAATATTCGTAACATTAAATTATAGTTTAATCATGCACGTATGTCGAAAATAAAGGCCTCCAATGATAGATGGATAATTAATATATATTTAATAATCCATTTTTAATTTAATTTATTTTAAATTCATATTACAGTACACTATGTATGACATATACCGACACTTCCGATCTAATAATACTTAATGAAACAATAATTTCTAATGCAATATTAAAATTTATTATACGTTTAATTAAATAGAACAGTTAATATTACAACAGGTGATCTATTATTAATAAAAAAATGTACGATATTTTAGATAGCATTATTCAATAAAGGTGAATGGAATTTTTCGAATATATTAGCTATAGTAACAAATTTTTTAATTATTTTTCAAATTAAAAAGATTCTTGAAAAGAATGAAATTAATACGTTTTTATGTAAATATATTAATTATTAAATTCATACCTCTGAAATAGTTGATTCCTTCTTTTTTGTCAATAGATACTTGAGCTTCTAAAAATAAGGTGTCAAATCTATTTAAAAAAAAATCCCAATTTAAGATTTTTCGATCTCCTAAGCAGTTATGTAATTGGTAGAGACATTGCAAGATTAACGGTCGATCAATAATTGATAAATCAAATTGTGTTTCTAAACACATAAGAAATGCCTGAAAAAAGGTTGTTATTGTTATTATTACTTTAAGAATTACATATATGAGGTAATCTGCAGAAGTACACTAGGTATCTGTATGTATTAACTTCGTTCTCTGTATTCATTAGTGTTTACAAGTGTGACGAGAGCAAGCAGTACGCTTGCTCCTCGTCTGCCCTCCTTCTCTCTCCCCTCTTATCGCTCGGCATGGCGACGTGGTCAGCGTTGGGCGCATATATTTATTGCGCCTAACCACTGGCCTTTATGTTTTCCAGCCGCCGAAGATTGCCGAGCAAGAATGAGAGCGCCCGAAGAAGCAAGAGCACAGCGACTATGAGACAGAGAGAGACCGAGAGAGACAGAGAGAGAGAGAGAGTTAGCGAGCATGCTAGAGTGCGCGCCTATGCACGCACTATGCAGGTTTGGGCCGCCGTGTGACGCGCGACCAATTAGCGCTTTTGTCGCACGCCGTCTAATGAGTGGGCTCGGTGGGGAGAGCCCGGCGAGAGTGCGAACACGGACGATGCGTCAAGAGGCGTGCATCAGTTTTCAAAAAAAGGTTAAGGAAAGCAGCGCAAAGAGAGAAAGAAACACAAGTGCAGCAGTGACCAGACCAGGGCGAGACAAGGCTACGTGTGGCAACACCTGCAGCAGGGCATTCAATGCCGCCCTCGTCACCGTGCACGGCACGACTTCCAGTGGGTTCACCGCGGGCTACGCCGAAGAAGACGTCCAGCCAGCGGCCAGGTCAACTCCCTATTGCCGGCTCATCGCCAAGGACAAAGGTCAGGTTATCTCTCTCTCCCAGTATTTCTCTCTCATGGTGATGCGCGGCCGCGTCGAAACGATAGGTAGCCAGGCGATCACTTGCCGGCTACGCTCATCGTAATGCGGTAGAGAGGTTTCGACGTATTCTTTCATTTGTAAGGAGGCGAATGGTCAAGGCGATTTAGCCGCCAGGCAATTCATCCTCCCGCGTTAGCTTAAGTCGTTCTTTTCATGTGCGCGTGATGTAAACTTTTATTATATCCGATTTTGTATTTGTTTGTCTGAATAGATTTAAGTTGTGTGTTTTAATTAAGGAAAATTATTTATTCATTCGACCTATCCTCTCGTTCCCCGATTGTTAAAGAGCGAAAGTGCCTCTCTTATTCTCCCCTTAATAAATTGGTGACGTCAGTGCCGATTAAGGCGCTGCCCTCGTTACATAAGTTTATTTTTTTGCAATTAATTGTAAGGAAAGGACATCTTCAAAACGTTGAAAATTACGAATCTATTTTGGTATTAAAAACCATCGCTTGATTGTTTGACGATGCAATATCTTATTATTTGTCTAGGTACCTGATAAATACAATTATTAGCATGGTTTCACAAACTGCTAATTCATCACAAAATATTGTTTGTCTAAACATTTTTATACAAAATACCATATCAAACACGAACAAGTGAATACCGTTTATGTCGATATCTCAAATGTGTTTCATACTGTAAATCATTTGGGTTTAATTGAGAAATTGACGATATGGGTATATGAGATATATTATTTTGGTTTCGTTCGTATCTTATGAAAATGTCAGTATGCTTAAATAATAATAAGTTTTTAGATCATTTATTATATTATCAGAAATTCCACAGAGAGTCTATTTCAGTTTCTCGACGAAATATTCATATAATGGATATTACATCATATGTTAAAAATTTAGTGTCTTATTTTGGAGGATAATATAAAAATATTTTTGCAAGCTGAAACTCCTCTTGATTCAGGTAAAATTTGATATAATAGTAATAATATATTAATGCTAATAATACCCGCTCAGAATTCAAAACACACGTTAATTAAATTGTTACATTAACAATCGGAACTTTAGGATTTAAAAAAACACTTCCCTATTTAAAAACATCGATACTCTTACCACCTTATACGAGTATACGAGTAAATTTCTTGTTTTACAAATTTTCCTCTATAGTTTTTTATTATATGTATTTTTTATACTAATACACTTCAAATCAATTCAATATTCATTCTTAAGATTCTGAGTATTGAAAACAAAAACTCCAGTTGAAATGCAATTCCCTCAACAACATACCAAAATGTATCATATTAAAACATAAATTTATAATGAGATCAAAACATTTATTTGAGGAACCAGAAACCTATCTCTGAATTCTTAAGTAGGTAAACTAGAGAGGCCACAAATCAGAGGGGTAACAGCTCACCGAGTTAAAGTGTCTGAGTTGAGGTGTGTGCATCTTCAGCTGAGCACTGTCAACTCACCTTCCCCCCCCCCCCACTAAGCGGCCCGTGCATTGTCGACTCACCTCCCCCCTCCTACTAAGTTATACCGGTGCGTTCTACGCACTCCCCCCTCCCCTACTGAGTTGATGTATTCTGATGCCGTGCGTTCTCCCCCCTCCCCCTGCCCTACTGTGATGCATGTGCGTTCTCTGCACTTCCCTCTCCTCCCCTACTGATCTAACGTGTTCTCGATGCACGCGTTCTGTGTTTCGCGTTTTGATTTTTATTGTGTGTGTGTGTGTCGGTGTTAAATTTTTAGATTTATCGGAAAAAACCGGACGGATCGGAGGATCGAACGCGCATCCTTTGAATCCGCAGGCGGATGCTCTACCGCTGGAACCACTGTCGCTGGTACTACATACGATTCCTATTGTGTATAGATATTGGCTACACGGTTGATATAGGTGGGGGGGAGGGTCCAAGCGCTAATTCATACAAATAATAATAAATTTATTAAATATACTAATAATAATAAATATGATATATATGTGGAGAAGGTTGAATTCGCACGCTGAGAAATGATTTTTGACTCCTTGATTAGTTTAGTTTAAGACAGAACTTTATTTCACTTATTTACAGTAGATAGACTTTAATCTCTGTTTACACTTTACTTGTTGTTTTGATTCCCTGAGCTACAGATATTCAAATGTGAAATTCGATGAGGATCTCTACTAGCGCTACAGCAACTAAGTAGTTGCCAACGAGGAGCTGGCATGCATTACCAACTGCCTCGCACGCCAGTAGAAGGACTGCCGCTACTGGAATTCGCTGCGGGGGACGAGCGCTTGCTTGCGCCGCCTAGTTGCCGAAGACTGCGGAATGCTGACCTCTTGTGGCCGCTGTTATGAGCTTGGCGCGACCGCCACAGCCACTCCCTCCCTGAAAGTTACCTGATCAGAAGGTGACTCAGATGTAGGTTGTGACCTGGTGCTTTTTAGGCAGGACTTAGGTGATCCTGGCGTAAGTTTTAGTTTGGTTACTCCTTTTGAGGCTGCTTGCTGCGTCAGGGGTAACTGAAATGATACCGATTTGGACTGGACTTCATTGGTTTGCCGTTTAGACTGTGACGGCTCGTCCGAAGAGATGTACGCTGGTTTCAGCATTGAAGTTGATACGGTTTGAGGATTTCCGCTGACGTCTATGACGTATCGCTGGTCGTCCAACCTTTTGATAACTTTATAAGGTCCAGAGTAGGGCGGAGTAAGAGGAGGTTTAACTGGAACTCCCAGTTTAAAAACATGGGTGCATGTATGCAGATCTCCATGAATGAATTGCTTGATTGAGATATGATGTGAAGTAGGTGACGGCCGTATCACTTGAAAGTGCTTTCGCAGATGATCTAGGAAGGTTACCGGTGATTGCGGTAAGTCCTTAGTTATGAAGAATTCCAGGCGAGGTTTTGATGTCCTCCTTGAAGACTGTTCTTAAACCTAAAAGCACGGTGGGTAGCAGCTCGGTCCAGGCAGAGCTAGGCTGACACATCAGTGCGGCTTTGAGCGTTCTGTGAAAATGCTCAACCATTCCGTTTGATTGCGGGTGGTAAGGCGTTGTACGGATTCTTTCCGCCCCAATTAGCTTTGCCAACGAGCTGAAAAGTGCGGACTCAAATTGCGGTCCTTGATCCGTGGTTATTGTTAGCGGAGTGCCAAAAATAGCAATCCAGCCAGAAAAGAAAGCGTTGGCCACTTCTTCCGATGTTGCCTTTTTCAGCGGTATTGCTTGGGGCCATCGGGTGTATCTGTCTATCAGTGTGAGACAGTATCTGTACTCATTGACTAGGGGCATAGTAACTATATCTAAGTGTATATGATTAAATCTTGCTTCTGGAATCCCTAAGTCGGCAGGGTGGCTTCGTGTGTGGCGATGGATTTTCGCCCTCTGGCACTGAATACATTGGCGTGACCAAGTAAGTGCATCTTTACGAATGCCTGGCCAGAAGTATTTTTCTCAGATCTTCCTGGCTGTTTCTCTACCGCTTGGATGAGCCGGGCCGTGAATGACGTCGAATGCTGTCCTCCTCAGAGAGGGTGGTAAGAAAGGACGTACTACTCCCGTTGAAACTTCACATAGGAAACGATATCCGTCTATTTCTAATGGTTGAAGACCACTGACATGTTCGCTCTCCCGATTTGGTGAAACTTCGTAATCCGCCTGGGCTTCACTGATAACTTGTGCACTGAGCCTGGTGGGCATGTTGATAGTGCAGATTCTAGAGAGCGCGTCGGCGACGACGTTCTGTTCTCCTGGAATGTGAACGATTGTTGTGCAGAATTGGGCTATGTAATCTAATTGGTAAAGCTGTCGTGGCGACGCTTTATCCGGGCGTTGCTGGAAAGCTTTGGTTAGTGGTTTATGGTCAGTTCTGATTACGAATTCTTTGCCTTCAACAATGTGCGCAAAGTTCTTGAGCGTCGCATAAATTGCAAGTAGCTCACGATCGTAAGGACTATAGTTGCGTTCTGCGGCAGACAGTTTCCTAGAGTAGAAACCAAGTGGAGTGTGTTTACCATCGATTATCTGTTCGAGGGATCCACCCAATGCCGTTGCAGATGCGTCTGCTGTGAGGATGATGGGTGCTTGAGGATGCAAGAAGGCTGAGGATGTTACCGCTGCAAGCGATTTTTTGGTTTCCTCAAAGGCTTTTTCTAACTCCGACGTCCATGCTATCGGGGTTCTGTCTTTTTTCTTCATGCTTTTTACGCACTAGTTGAGTAGAGCTT